GGCCACCCTTTACCCCCAAGAATATTCCCGGTACTCATGTTAGGGTCTGAGTCGACCCCAGGCCCATAGTTCAACTGGAAGGATTAGGTAAATTGAAAAAATCCACCTGATTGGCATTCGATCCCATGACCTTCCGGCTTGTAGCACAGTGCCTCAACAATATCAGTCACGCCTACCCTCCTACATGGGACAATATCAATAAAAAGATAGATATTCGTTACACAGGAAATATTTAGATGGTAAATATGGGTTTGTTATCAACATTAAATCATCTCATCTATATTTACATAGTAACACTTTTACTAATCCAGAGCAACACTTGGCACAGCCTCACTAAATAGAAGGTCAGGAGAGAGCAAGTAATTGATTCTACACATGCATTAATGAATCAGTTTTATTCCCAAGAAGTACTGACACTGAATATATCAGCGATGAATTTCATATGTAAGAGTCTTGACAAAAACAAAAAAACACTGGCTTCAGTCCACAAGCGAACTGTACCAACTGAGTGACCCCCGCTAGTCGGCAAAATTAGTGCCAAGGTGTGCTACAAGTCACCGAAGTATATATTCAGTAGACTCCAATGATGAAGAAAGACATTCCTCAGTGGATTCTTATTGTGGTCTGAGTTACATCACCAAGAAGTCTGTAGATGGGTACCAACATTCAAGAGAAATATGTAATTGTTGTGTAGATGACCACATAAAATGCTATTATGAATTCAAGCAGTTGTTATTTCATGTATAATATTAAATTCTGCACATCTAATGTCACACTTTGGGTGGACTCTTGGTTTCAGTATTGGAACTCATGTACACTGTTCTACTGAGCAAGTCTGTTGAATCATCTTTAAAGTTCCTGTTTTTTTACAGAGAAAATGTTTGAATTTTTCATAATGAGAGGATGTTGTCTATTAATACTCAACAACTCATTCCTATTTGACCCAAAATAGTAACATTTTACAGCTGTTATGACTTGGACTGTGGATGTTCTGTTCACTCACATTTTCAGCTAGCAGTAAATGGTTACAGACTTGTATACAATGGAACATGAATTTAAGGATATTCCCTTATTTAAAGTTCCGTTTCAGTGATCCCAAATCAATTATGGTACACTTAATTTTTTTGTCATCCAAAGCTCCCTAAAGAAACCTTGAATCAAGGTTCCTCTGCATGTAGGGCTTCAGGAGAGGATCTTTGTAACCTCATTGTTTTGCTTTCTTTCCAGATTGTTCTTTAGTGTTACAATACCATGCGTGGAGTTGTGAATCTCCAATAGGATATCTAGCTGATATTATACCGTTGTATTTGGTATGTTCTACGGTGTTGAATGTGATGATGTCCTGTTGAAGAACATGATCATTAAACTGATTCTGAACGAAATTGTGGCACACAAAGTCTCCTTCCTGAACTAGCATCCAATGGATGGTACTTCTTATTGCTTTCAAGGTAACTTAAATAACATTTTAATGATTATTTATTGTCAAGCAATTGGTGACTATATTGCCTGTGGTTCTGTATGGGTGTGAAACTTGGTCTGTGACATTAAGGGAGGAATATAGACAGGGTGTTTGAGAACAGGGTGTTGAGAATATTTGGACCGAAGAGGGATGAAGTGACAGGAGGTTGGAGAAAACTGCATAATGAGGAGCTTCATAACTTGTACTCTTCTCCAAGTATAATTAGAATGATCAAGTCGAGGATGAGGTGGACAGGTCATGTAGCACGAATGGAGGAGACGAGGAATGTGTATAGGATATTGATGGGAAAGCCAGAAGAGACCACAGGGAAGACCAAGGCGTAGGTGGGTGGACAATATTAGAATGGATCTTAGAGAGATAGGATGGAATAGATCTGGCTCAGGATAGGGACCAGTGGAGGGCTCTTGTGAACACGGTAATGAACCTTCAGGTTCAATAAAATGCTGGCAAATTCTTGAGTAGCTGCAGAATTTGCGGCTCCTCCAGAAGGGCTGAGCTCCATGAGTAAGTAAGTAAGAGGTGGTTTGGATTGGTAATGGGATTTACTGGACCCTTAATACTCATAACTACAAGTGACTCTAGCACTATTGTTAATTCAACACACACTATACAGTTCATTACAGCACGCACTAAGTCTTCTCAGGCTGCTATGTCTTGACCGGTTGTCTGGTAATGGCTCCCAACTCAGTCAATCAATACACAGAAAATTATAAGTGGTACAAGGAATTGAGAATTTAAGTCCTCCCTAGGTGGAATCTGAACCACCAGTATTAGACAACATACAGAGAGTCCCTTCTTGAATGCTCCGTTAGATATAGAATAACTGAACTCAGTGACAGACAGTGTGAAAGTACAATCAAACCCAGGCCTAAATGGCATCAACTACAAAGTAATTAAATACTTACCAGAAAAGATGAGAAGTTACTATTAGCCTTATGCAATGAGATTCGGCACACTGGAGATAACCCCAATGAATGGGAACAAAACGCAATCTTCATCATACCAAAAGCAGATGGGAAAAACTTTCGACCTATTTAACTGGCTCTCTCCTTACTGAAGATTCTTGACAGAATAATAAAACTGCAGAATAAGTTGGTGGCTAGAACACCATAAAAAGCTACCTAACCTACAGTTTAGATTCCAAAAAAAATAAATCCTGCCTGGATAGCCCATCACTGATGTATTCTGACATAGTAAATGCCTTTTATAACAACAAAATAGTTGGAGCTGTTTTTTATGGACATAAAAGCAGTATAGAACAATGTATTGATAAATATCTTGATTGAAAGGCTAGCAGAAATGAATATATCAAAGCTAATGCTAAAATTTATCTGCAGTGTTACTTCAGGAATATACCATAGCATCAAATTTGACACCACTGATGTGATCAAGAATTACACATGGCTTGCCTCAAGGAAGCGTGTTAAGTCTGCTCTTATAATATTTACATGCTATCTCTGGATAGAAGTGTTAAAAGAATATACAAAGTGTTACAATTTGCAGACAACATGGCTATTTACACCACAGATACAAGTCCTGATGAACCCCTACCTAAACTGGAAAACTCAGCCAGAGAGTTAGGTTAATATCTCAATGACAGCGAATTACAATTAGCTCCTGAAAAAGGAAACTACATATATTTAGGAACAAGAGATCTAAAACAGAAACAGAGTGAGCAAATAATATTAATGACAAGAGGATTACATTTGAAAAACTAGTAAAATTCCTAGGACTACACTTCGAAATTGACTTTGAAGCCGACCGAAAATGGAAACATACCTGGAACATACTAAGCAGAAGTGCATTAAATCCATAGCAATTATTAGTTACAATCAAACCACACAGATGTGAGCATTCAGTCCATCACATAAGGTCAGATGGATTTGCTAAAAGAATACAGTGTAAAGCCATGAGACTAGCATTTGGATATATGACGACCACACCCAAAAATGTTACGCAAGCAGGGGCTAAAATACCTCCAATAACATTCCGATTACAATTCCTAGGCAGCAGTTATTTAACCAGAGCTGTTAGCAACCCTGACCATCCAGTAATATGATCATTGTAACAAATGGCAAGGGTTTGAGAGGATCGTACAAAATTACTCAGAGGAAAGGTACTTGCTATGTAGACAGAGAACTGGTTGGCCATCTTATAGCAAAGGATGTCAGACGTCTCGAATGCAAATGCCATTCGTTAAAGGAAGCATCTCCTTTAAGGGGAGTAAAGCAATCCCCAACGGCAGCAACCAACTCAACAAAAACATCAAAAACCTAGGAAAGGAGGCTGCTATTTTACTGATAGCTCAAACATGTGTAACCAGGAATTTGTGGTCTTCTTGTGTGTGACAGTGTCCGGAGAAATTAGACCTCAGTATCATGCTACAAATTTTGCATAAATATTTATAGGAGAGGCAATGACTGTTTTGAATAGAGATAATAAGTAAATCACAAGGAGCATCATTTTGCACATGTTCCTACTCTAGAAGTGTACTCACGTGCCTTAACAAGAGATCCTTAACTAAAGAACACTAGGTAACAATCCTCAAAATAACAGAAAAACTACTGGCACTGAAGAAACATAAAAAGGATATTAAATCTGTATGGATCCCAGCACACATGGGTATTGCCGTCATCAAAATAACAGATGTGTCAGCAATGGTTCAATACTTGATGCCTGTCACAGACATGAAGAGCTACTGGAAGACCAAACTGCAAGTAACAGCTGAGGATTGGTACAGAGAATCAGGGAAACAAAAAGGAAGTACTTTGAGAACTACTACCAGAACAATGGAAAAACTTGGGTCCAAGATTAAAGTTTTGAAGAAACTCTTTCGTCTCAATAAATAGAACAAGTTGTGGCCATTATTGTCTATAAGAGTGCTTTATTTGATTTAACATCATTAATACAGAAAAGTGTGAATTTGGTGAAGCCAAAGAAACTATGAACCACAATGTATGGCAGTGAAAATTGAGGAATTTAAAGTTCATATGATAGATGACTTAATGAAACAAAATATTTTCATAGTATCGTATTGAAGCCATTGTACACTGTATGTTGCCAGAAGCAGTAATCCCAGTAGCGCATTATATCAACAGTATCAATATAAGAATATAATTAAGTCATTACTGTGACAAACCCAACCAGGCATCAATATATGCTAAGACTTCTGATGTTAAAACAGAATTAGTATACAGGTACTTTATGTGTAGTTAAAAGTTAAAGCTTTTTCGCTTAGTGGGGGGTGGAGTCAAACTGGGTCCATTCAGCATGGCAGCCACTGATTGGCCTATTGTAGCCTGCCCCGGGTGATTATGATGATGGAGAATTTGGTGGAATGAAGATTGTCAGGGGAAACCGAAGTACTCAGAGAAAACCTGCCCCAGCACCACTTTGTCCACCACAAATCAACGTTAAAGCTTTACTTTTATATAAGAATTAAAAGAGTACTGTAAAACTGTAGTTGATGGCAAGATGGCCTTTTCAGCTTGTATGTTCTTTCATAAAAAAAAATTCAGAGCATGCAAAAGATCAGAGGAAGGTCTCATGGTTTTCTATACAACTACACACAAGTGGCCTTGAGATTTCTAGCATGTAGTTCTATGGGGAGCGTGACAGTCAAATGGCTTAAGTTTCACCATGGTCTGCACTACAAGATTTCATCAGTATATGGCAGTAGATTTCTGCAGTTGAAACAGCAGTATTAGGCCAGGCAAAAGATCAATAAAAATAATGTAAAACATTTTTATTAGCAACCACTTTACAAGTTGTCACACAACAGTTCTACATTGTACGTGGCATTAAGTATTTGTAGGCTTGCAGATGTCACTAATTTAACCAAAAGTACAGATCACATGTGCCTAGCTGAAATCAGAAAAGGTAACAGTTTTTTTCTGGAGTCTCTTTATGCAGTGGTAATTCCATGATTGCTCATGTGTTTTCTCAGTCCAAAGCTTACAAAAACAAATTCTACACTGATAATTCTGGGACATTTTACAGGAAATCAAACATAGTTTTCTTAAGTTACACAGAGATGTCAGGGTACATTTGTTTCACCAACTCAAAATGCCAAATGAATTCAGACCAGAAAGGACATGCTTTTACGTGAGATATTTTATGCATAGTATGAAGGGATTAATATATTTGGAGTCCTTACCATTATTTTAAAATTTATTGTATACAATCAATACATTCACAGTCAGTCTTGTTTCAGGATTTGTGCATGGTCATACACCTTGCCATTACCAGCCACACTATCTAAGATTTATATATATTCACCAACTAACTCGTCAGTGTCTGTTGGATGACTGTATAATGCCATAAAGATCCTAAGTCAGTGGAAATGAAGCTAATCACGTTACTATCAGCCATTATCAGAAAGCAAGCAGAACTTCATTTCTTATGCAAAACAGAAACACATGATCCAGTTTTGCCACTATATAGTCGTGCATTTTTCCCATTTTGCTACAAGGAAATGATTATTAAAAGGTAAGTCAAGTGACTTTACGTTGCAGCACACCATGAACAAGTACCAATATTTGTTAGTTCATAAATCTGCTATCAATATGCAGACTGATTTATATAGTAACACAATATAGGTCAGTGAACAGTATGACAGTGTACTGACAGAAATTATATCCTGCAGTACATAATAGAATATATGTAGATGTGTAGCAGTGGACAAATTATGCATCCTAGTGTCTGCCTTCATTTAATCTAAAGAAAAACAATTTTAATTTCTAGGTATGAAGGAATCATGGGTACTGAAGTTGATCAGTGCAGATGGACAGGCCCATTTAAATCCCTTTGGCAGTGGAAGAGGCAATGCAACAAGCAGACAGCAGAATAAATAGCATTGGTAATCTACAATTCTTTTGTTTCATACAAATTTGTAAGCATTATGTATTTTGTAGGGATAAAATTTTGTGTGTTTGGAACACTGAATTCAGTGGTTCCCAATTCATACATGGCCCAAATCAAAGTTGCTAGGGTCCTTAGAAGACTATTTTTTAAAGACGAATGTATGAAAGTACCTGAAAGGGGACCCTCTCCATGGCCTTAGGGTAGCAAACAACTTCAGCAAAAGGTTTGTAAATTTTATCTGAAAGTAATTTTCTATATGTGAGAAAAAAAGAGGGGTGGGGGGTGTGGAACAGGAAAAAGAGAACAAAGTACATTACATGTCAATGTGCAAAATCCCCTTTCAGTTTTACAACAGAGCAGTGAGAGTTTAAGTATAAACACTTCACTATTAGTAACACAGTATCAGTCTTATTATCATGAAATAACACTTAGATATGAACACTTAGCACACAGCATGTATATGTGCATACCGTCGTCTTCAGATGTAAGCTGGAACTGCGGCTCGCTTGAGCACACACTCCTGTGATCACTAATACAGGACCGAATATGAAGTCCAAGCTTCTGAAGGGTTGTGTGGGCAGGAATTCTAATACAGCATTTGTGGCATACAATACACGATCCATAAGGAAAGACATTCTCAATTTCCATTGCTGTCTTTTGACAAACAGGGCACACAACTTCTTCCTCTAAACTCTTCTGTAACATTTCGGAGAACATTTCCTCTTCGCTTGCTAGCAGCATTTCATATTCAGCAATTATCTCTTCCTCTGGAAAAGTAATTCAAGGTTGTAGTTATACATTCGTCAACATTTCAGACACAACAAAAAGATGCCTTACACATACTCCTAACTGTCTCTTTCATCTTCTAAATTAATCTGTGAAATACAGTACTAGAGAATACACAGTGCAAATACAAATACAGTGAAGGCAAATGGAATTTTTTAAACAAGTCTGAAAAAAAGAAAGTGACCTGAGAACCTTGGTTCACAGGTTTAACATTGAAAACGTGATGAAATTGGGATTTGTACTGGAATTAATGTACGTTGTACATTAAGATTAAAACTTTATTGAAACATTACTATGTGTACAGTACATTATTTATTTCAGTTACCCAAAACAATTAGTCTGTAGTCACATCAGAGATTTGTTGTGCTCAAGACAGGTCTATGATAGTCAGTGTATTCAACATATAAGTTTTCATGTATTTCTCAATATCCACACTGTCATTTGGTATTTAACTTTGTTCATTTGGGTACATTATTACAATTATCTCCTTCTAACTGTTTCCTTTTCCTGTACACACTCATATATGCAGCACGACTATTACCAGCGAACATATTAATTGCATGTAAGATTTGAGGCTTTCACGGCGGTAACTATGAAGAAAGCANTCTTAAGTGCATGATGTCATGTGCTGCCAGATATCCTATAGCATTGTGTCTTACACTATAGAGTGGAAATGAATTAGCCTTATACCTCGCATTTGTTACCGTATCTCACTCTTATTTATAAGACTCCAGCACTAACTGCATAAAAAACATTGTTTCCATGGTTTTTCTGTTTACTCTATTGTTCTATGTTGATTAATTTTCGTGGTAATGTGTTAAATTGCTGTTGCCTAGAAATGTACCAATAATTTCAAACCGTTACAGACCTCATTACCTGTGTTACAAATTCTGTTACTAACGATTTCATTCCATTTGTACACTCGTAAATTAACATTTTCAGCGTTAATATAAAAACTGAATAATGAGAAAGGATGGGCCATTCATACTTTTCCCATTTCTCACCCATAATGATAAGGTAAAGCTATCCCTATAACATGCCTCCATAGGTTGTCAGACATCAAGGCTCCTGCTACAGGCTGGATGGCCAAGGGGTCAAAGTTCAAGTTGCAGTAGGGGAAAGAATTTTCTCCACATCATCCACACCTGCTCTGAGGCCCACCCAACCTCCTATCCAATGGGTACCAGGGGCTCTTTCCCCAGGGGTAAAGCAACTGGGGTGTCAAGCTGTCCACTCACCTCAAGCTAGTGGTGAGGTCAAGAAAATGTGGGTCTATGCATCCACTCCTTCATATGCCTTCATGGTGTAGTGCTTAATTAGTTGAGCAAAGGAACAACTTTACCTTTTTATCACCCATAATGATAAACAAGTGTGCCCCTTATAAGCACCCTTGTTTGTCGACTACTTCCCAGTGGCTTGGACTAAGCTCCATAACTCCTCCCCATGGGTCACATGGCAACCTTCCTTGTAACCTGCCTTTATAACCACACCCATTCCTGAACCCAAACACTTCAGCCCTAAAGCTGGCTGCAACATGCTCCTCTGAAATGTCAGTTTCAACCCACAAAACTACTGTGTCCCAATCCAGAAGACTACAGCCTTAATAATCCCTGCCATGAAAACTCTGAAACTGACATTCCTTTGCCTGGGAACCCAAACAAAAATAATGCAAATGCAAAATGACTGCAGGCAGTGGTTCATTTTATTTGAGGCACTAATAACCGGAACACTAAAAAACTCAAGGACGGTTCTTTCCACATCAGCAAAAGTTTAATAAAACAACATAACTTTTAGAAGAAAGCAGTCTTCTGGGATTTGTCGCTTGCAGATTTCTTATACTTTTTCTTCTACCCTGAAGATGGAGGCGATACGTACCTCCGAAACGTCGGTTAACACCACTTATACACGGTGCCAAATCCCAGAAGACTGCTTTCTTCATAGTCACCGCCGTGAAAGCCTCAAATCTTACAACATAACTTTTGTCTGTGGTGGTCTCCAAGGAGCAACTGTTTGATCACAGGCAAAAGGGTTTCTCAGAAGGAATTAATCCCACAGATATCCATCTAGGAACATCTGAGTTGATATGTACTGAGAATTTTATATAGCACTAATATTTGAATTACGCAGAAGTGAAATCATGTATATAACTGCATTTATGCACGTGTCATTCATCATTACTTTTAGCAGACCCAAAGTTACACTGGTATGTGTTATACCTCTCAACTGTGGACAGGTGATTAACACCAATTACAGACCTAAGCTCTAATACAGTACCTTCTGCTGTAAGAGTACTTCCTTCAGTTTCATATCCTGCACTCCACAAAGGACATGTTACATCAGATTCAACCTTTCCAATTGTTGAAAACAGGTCATCCACATGACCATGTGGATGAAGGTTCCTCATGTTATTTACAATTTTGTCACGATTTCTCTTCATCCTGGCTCTGCATCGCTGGAACAAAATGAAAATTATTGGCAACCATTGCTCCCAGCTCCTAGTAGTATTCTTACTTGAACTGAGCTAAAAGAAGAACTGAAAATTGTTGGAACGGGAAGAACAGTAAATATCAGAATAACTGATATCTAATTGAATTGTTTGGCTATTAGTGGTTCTAAATTGTATAGACTGAGTTTTGTTATAATTTAATGACAACAAATTGATATTAAACCATTCATTCAATTGAAACAGGAAATAATATCTTTTCTAAAATTTACTAAATTATGATTACTAACAATAATGCTGGTATCATCAGCAAACATGACTGGCTTAGAGTTATAATTAACTACTTTAGGTAGGTCATTTATGTACAAAAGAAAAAGCATTGGTCCAAGTATAGATCCCTGGGGCATTCCATGTTTAATCTTCCCCCATTCTGAAGAAGTATAAGAATGTGTTAATTTATCATCAATGAGGACTCGCTGATACCTATCACCGAGATATAATTTGATCAGAGCATATGCATTGCCTACAATTGCATAGAATTTCAGTTTCTTCATTAATAAGTTGTGATTAATGCAATCAATGGCTTTCTCGAGGTCACAAAAAATACCTCCCACAAGTTCCTTACTATTTAAGGCCTGTAAAATATCATTTAGAAGTTTAAACATTGCCTTTCCTGTTGAGGAATTGCTTCTAAACTCAAACTGTTCACTAGATAATATAGCATTATTTATTACATGTTTAGAAAGCCTTATATATATCATCTTTTCAAAAATTTTAGAAAAGGAAGTTAGTAATGATATAGGCCTATAACTTTTTATATTTTTATTGTCGCCATTCTTAAATAATGGCTTAACCACAGAATATTTTAATCATGTAGGGAATGAACTAGAAAAAACTGACCTATTACAAATATAATTCAAAGGAGCGATGATAAATGGATAACTTATTTTAAGGATTTTTACTGAAATTTTATCATATCCAAATGAATTTTTGGATTTAAGGGATTTAAGACACATACCCAGCAGGCCCAGGAGCAAGACACAACATAAAGCACAATACACACACGAAAATAGAAAGAGTGCTCCGACAGAAGAGGATAGATGTGACTCGAGTAGTGAGATACGAGTAGGAAAAATCCTGAACAATTTTAATACTTCTAATATTTAATATTTATCAATATATATATATATTAAATATATATTTCAATTATTTTAATATGAAGACGACAAGGCATGCAGTGAACTAGTTTAACGTTAATCGAATAAGCACCTGAAGATGGCACTTTTGTGCCGAAACATGTAGTGAGAGAGAGAGGAGTGAGGTAGATAAGTGTATGCACTAGAAGACGGTGAAATAAATCATGGATTTAAAAATTCTTTTAATTTCCCTAGTCATTGTATTATCGAATATTATATTTGGAAAGGGGTTACTGAAAACTCTGTACAGATAATCAATACAATTATTATCTTCTAATTCCTCATTGTTATTAATATTGGAAATTATTTTGTCTCCTGTTGATTGAAAGTAGTTTTGAAAGGAATCAGCTATAAGCTGAGAAGTATAAGTATAAGGAGTATAACATATGCAGTCACAGGAGCAAGACACAACACAAAGCACAATACACACAGGAAAATATGAAGAATACTCTGATAGAAGAAGACAGGTGTGACTCACATATTGAGATACGACATAAGGATGACAAATCCTGAACAGTTTTAATATTTAAAATTTATCATTATATATGACGAATATATATTTTAGTTATTTTAGTATAAAGACAACAGGGCATGCAATGAAGTAGTCCAATGTACATAGAAAAGCACCTGAAGATGGCACTTTAGTGCTGAAACATGTAGTGCAAGAGAGAAGAGTAAGGTGAATAAATGTATGCACTGTAAGACGGTCAGAATAAATCATGGACATAAATCAGTGCAACAGGACGCAAAAATATAACAGCTATAAGCTGTTGATTATCAGTTAAAATACCATTTATATAAACTCACTCAAACGATTTATTCCCTGACTTTTTACCTGTTATAGATTTAACAATATTCCAAGTAGTTTTCATTTTATTCTCTGAATTAACAATTAATCTATCATAATGAAGTCNTATCCGTCTTCTAGTGCATACATTTATTTATCCCCTCTTTTCACTCTCACTACATGTTTCGGCACCAATGTACCATTTTCAGGTGCGGATCCAATCCACGACAAACTAATTCATTGCATGCCTTGCATGCAGTATAACACACGCAGTCACAGGAGTGAGACGCAACACAGAGCACAATACACGATAGTGAAAGAGAGAGTGCTCCAACAGAGGATGATAGACGTGACTCGCGTAATGAAACACGACGTAGGAAAGAAATATGCTGTACAGTTTTAGTATTTTAACACTTGACATTTGTCAGTATATATGATAAATATATATTTTAGTTATTTTAGTATGTAAAGACAAGGCATGCAATGAATTAGNCGTTAATAACACTAGATAAAGTTATGCAATATAGTTTATAATAATTTTTAAAATTTGCATCATTATTATTCCTATACAACAAGTAGAGTTCCCGCTTACGTCGACAAGAAATTGTTACACCTGGTGTTATCCAATTATTGACTTTTGTCTTAGAACTAGTTATTGTTTTTTTAATGGAAAACTAGAATGAAAAATTCACAAATATATATTTAAAAAGGAGTTGAAGATGGTATCAGCATCATTACCACTAAATACATCATTCCACATTTCATAGCTTAATTGCATTTTAAAATTAAGCAAAGACTGATCATAAAAAACTCTTATAGTTGAAATGGTTGAATTTTTGTGTTTATGAATTTGCAAGTAGATATTTCTAATAATAATGAGTTGTGCATCATGATCAGATAGACCAGTATTAATAGGAAAGACCAAATACTTTCCAAATTGAGAATAGTCAATAAATATATTATCAATTAATGAAGAATTATTCTGACTTCTAGTTGGGAAATCAATTATGGGAAAAAGATTAAAAGACAATAACAATGAATTAAGCTGTTTTTTTCCTGGGGCTATCCTGTACGTAGTTTATATTTATGTCACCGCATACAATGAATTCAACACCATAGCTATAAATATTATTTAAAACTCTATCTAGAATATTTAAAAATTGTAAAAAATTGCCAGATGGCGCTCTATAGACAGCTACTATACAAATATTTTGCCCGGCTGATTGGAGTTTAACAACACATATTTCAATAATTTTGTATATACAAAATCTATCCAAATTAATATCTGAATAATTTATAGAGTTATGCACAAAAATACATACACCATTAAGGGTGGAACATAGACTGCGGGTGTTTGAGACCAGGGTGTTGCGGAGAATGTTTGGACTGGAGAGAGATGAAGTGACAGGAGGTTGGAGAAAACTGCATAATGAGGAGCTTCATAACTTGTACTCTTCTCCAAGTATAATTAGAATGATCAAGTCAAGGAGGATGAGGTGGGCAGGGAATGCGGCACAAATGGGGGGGACAAGGAATGTGTATAGGATATTGGTGGGAAAGCCAGAAGGAAAGAGATCACTGGGAAAACCATGGCGTAGATGGGTTGACAATATTAAAATGGATCTTAAAGAGATAGGATGGGATGGATTGGATTGATCTGGCTCAGGATAGGGATCGCTGGAGGGCTCTTGTGAACACAGTAATGAAACTTCGGGTTCCATAAAATACTGGGAAATTCTTGAGTAGCTGCAAAATTGGCGTCTCCTCCTGAAGGGCTCAAGTAACATACATTAATATTCAACAATACTAACCTCTCGCAAAACGTCCCTGAACTTCGGTGACCCATTTTTTAATTTGTACACAGCTTTCCTATTCAATTCTGCAATGTTATGTTGACGTGGTGTTAATACTGCAGCCGCCATTATATATCAACGAATATCACTAACCACCTTTCATAGACATATATTTTAAGTTTGGGTAATCACTCATAATACACAGTTATTGCCGGACTTGAGTGGAATTAACGTCTGGCGGAAAAATATCTTTCCAAGGTCTCCAACGTGACAATGCAATATTTCCCATATTTTTAAGAACAACGCTTCGCATGGCTCGGAGAGGTTAGTCTGTATCGGTCTGTGTCACTATCGCTACCGATCGCTACGGAACACTACGCTCAACTCGTATGATGCTGCATGTCGTTTTTAGAAGGCACTCGTTTTGCACACATGAAGCAGGTGGAGCAATGTTATCGTAGAGCAATATTGGTGGAAGGAAGTTAGTGCTTTTGTCGATTTGTGGAGAATTATAAACATATTCCACTGTCAATGTAATATATTGTATTAGAATTATGGCAGGGGTGTTTGATATAGAAATACCTGATGGGGAACTTGGACAAGATGTTTCAGATGATGATGCCATTGAAATTGAGGAGGTGAGATAATGTTTTTCTTTCACTTTTAAACGGGGAGGCAAATTATTTTGTTTTATAATTGTCAACACCTTGAGATTTCTTTAGAGATTTAAGAAACATTGGTATATGTTTATTTGTGATTGGTTTCTTAATATACCAAACTAGTTGCTTGTATACACAAATTTAACTACCCAAATTCTTTTATTTTCATTTCAGGGTGATTATGATCAGGACCCCAATGTGAATGCTATTATTGAGTAAGTATGAAGTTTAAAACATTGTGTTTTACATATGGAAGCGTTGTTCATTTTTACACCATCTATATGTATACACAAGTGTTGATCCTTTACCGAAACAAGACAAGTAATGTATATTCCTGTACAGGTCAGAAGACTTAGAAACAGTTCAGCTGTCAGAACAGAATGTGAATACTGGCAAGGAGAAGACAGGACCTCAAGATTTTGAACTGCGCAAAGTTTTGGGAAAGGGCGGGTATGGAAAAGTGTTTCAGGTGCGGAAAGTCACTGGGCAAGACACTGGAACCATATTTGCTATGAAAGTTCTACGTAAAGCGTCAATTGTACGCAACCAGAAGGACACTGCCCACACCAAAGCAGAGAGGAATATTCTTGAAGCTGTAAAGGTGAATTGTGTTTGAGAAATAAGTGAAATGCTTTTAATCACGAATGAGAGTTGTCTGGGCCTGAAATAATAGTTTGACCCAGAAGTCAGGAATCTGAAGTGTTACTGATATGGTTTTACTTACCTTCATACTATTTAGCACCCTTTCATCGTAGACCTGATCTACGCATTCCAGACAGGTGGAAAACTCTACTTAATTCTGGAATATCTGAGTGGTGGTGAGCTTTTTATGCACCTGGAACGGGAAGGGATATTTTTAGAAGACACAGCTTGGTAAGTAAGCATTTCAGATGCACTTTGTATATATAGAGAAGTTTTCTAGGCAAAGCCCTCAGGAAGTAAATTTATGCATTATGGTTCAGCCCCAGTTCAAGCTCACATTTAAAATTAGAATGTATATTTAACATACCTCAGAATTACTGGGTTTGAGACTTTCCATCATCTGGCATTGTAAAAACTACTCTGTTAGGTCTATTAGAGAGACTTAATGTCAATTATTGGACAGCTGATGTCAGTATAAGTACAGCTATATAAATACCAGAGACCAGGCTTGTCAGTGGGCGATAGCAGGAAAATATGCAATACTATTTGTGATAAAGCATGCACAGACCTGAAACTAAGATAGAAATGGAGGTTGAAATTTTATGCAAAACCCAAGTCCATGAATACCAATTCATAGGTCTGAATGGAGAATTTGTGAAACCATTTTGTGCCTACTGCTAGCACCATCTGTGGAATCAAAATGAACACTCAGGATTAAAATCTTCTAGAAACCCATGAAGAAGCTGTCACACCATACTGATGTTTTGTGTAAGTTGATAACCTCATTGCTGCTAAGGGGGACCCAAAGTAGGTGTCTCCCCTTACACCTGAAGATGGAAGCAGATCCAGTGTCTGAAACATATTCTCTAGTTTTTAGAATACTGGATGATAGGTAAAGTACAAAAACCAAGTAATTCTGAGTGTTATACACCATCATCACAACCCTTTGGAATTTACTTGTATTTAATGTATTTATTTGAAAATACCTAAGTTTAATTTCTCAAGAACAGTGGGCTTATGATATTACATTTCCGTCTGTGTGATCCTTCAACCAACTGATTGATTTTCCTGAAATTTGGTGTGAATGTTAGTCCATTGTAGGTCACATCAACCTCGTATTGTGCACATGGAGAACACGGAAACTGTGAAGTAATGTAACACAAATGCCACTTAATATAGAGCCTGAAATGATGTGTGGCAGTAGATCTTACACAATTGTACAATGTTTTATACATTGTAAGACAGTAACATGGTTACTTACTCCTTTGGTTGTGCAAGCTCATAAGAACCTATGCAACAGATGATTTATTCACCTCTGCTATTTGCATTTTGTTCCACATTTTGACTGTCATCTGCTGTTCTCTACATCTTTCAGCAGTCTCAGTCTGGCCCTTCCCTCTTTATTGTACCTGCTGACTTACTTTTAATAATTTTCGTGGTCACCCTTGTTATATCAACTCTGATGATGCCACCCAACCATTTGGACCTTTTCCTTTTAATATCTCCTGTTAGAGGAAGGTTTTTTATAGTTCCCTAAGTTCTGTGTTAGTTCTCACTCCCCAAAACCTGTTCTCAGTTGCTGGTCCATACACTTCAAAATTTTCCTCTTCTACATTTTTAATCTTGTTTTTATTCTTCTCAAGCATGGGCCATATTATCAGATGCATAAATCACGAACAGTTTTACATTACATTGACTATTTTAAGTTTTTGCTGTTCTGCTCACAGTTTTGCCCTGAATTCAAAACCGTTGCAAACCTTAATCAACCAACTCCATTACCTGCAGGAATTGTCTTCATTTCTTCAAAAGTTCAGTTTTTCCCTGTTATGAGAGTAATTAAATATTTAAATAATCTGACGTCTACAAAAATTTGCACATTGACATTCAGATTCTGTATTAAAGTTCGGTAAATTTTGCATAATTCTCACACAATTTTTTTTTCATATCCACTTCTAATCCACCCTGTAATGCCTCACTCTTTGGCTGTGCTAATGCTATTTTCAATTGTCCACACTGATCATTCAAGTATCATGACATCATTTTCATGTGCTAGATATTGTATTGTTATATTAAAAGTGGTTCCATTATGGTTAATTTCAGTATTTCTAATTGTTTTCTCCAACAAAGTATTGAACTCTGTAGAACCATGGAACCATGTAGAACCATCCCATTGTTTAAGTCCCTTTTGTCCCAGAAGTGTTTAAGAGTTGTCCTTGCACATATTCACGTTTATTTCCTTATACTAAGAAGGTTATTCTTTATGTACCGCAGTGAGTCACTGTTTTGTTGAAATTAGTATGCTTGAAATTAATAGGAGGTGGGAGTGGATACAGTTAACTTAAACATATGTAAAGATCTTAATGAAGATGTGACTTCAAACAGTCATATCACCATCATAGTTCATATGTGACAACTGCTCATTTATGTTGGCCATTGGTTTCAGATTTGAACTGTCAGACAGTGTTTACTGAACTAGTCCATATGGCAGTGTTCATGGTGCCTGTTTTAAAAAGAAAAAGCCTTCCATATCTTTTAGAATGTTTTGCACTTTCCATGGTACACATTAATCTTCATCCAAATGTTATCAACACTGACAGATTAGAACCAATACATTAAAACAGAATACTGTTTACTCATTTATGACATACCGTATACCTTCATATGCTCCATCAAAACAGGTTCATACATATTAGCACTCAAAAGTTAGTTGTTGGGTTAAACAGTAATATCTGAAATTTAAAACCCTCAGAAGTCTAATCAGAAAGATTCTTTTTTTTTTTCCCAATATCTGGGTGATATTGAACAGTATATGGAGAAATGGAGGGGACACGCGGTAGCATAGTTGGTTGAGGTACTATGCTACAAGCCGGAAGGTCGCGGGATCGAATCCCAATGAGTTCAGTGGAGTTTTTCAATTTACGTAATCCTTCCAGCCACACTATGGCCCTGGGGTCGACTCAGCCTCTAACAGAAATGAGTACCAGGAATATTCTTGGAATGTTCTTGTGGATGAAGGGCAGCCGGCGCGTAAGGCCAACAACCTTACCATCATGTATGAGCCGATTGTCTAGAAAATGTGAGAACCTCAACATCTCACAACCCTATGGGCCTCCACAGCCTGTTACAGGGATACCTTTACTTACTTTTTGTGGGGAAATGGATGTATAGATACACATTTTCTTGGTACAAAAAAAATTCTCTGGCCATTGGCTTCGAGGGGTTTAGAGTCAAGATAAACTGATTGGCAGTAAACCAGTCATAAAGTAACTCTGACTCTGAGATGGCAGTTAGAAGAGTAGGAAGTTGGTGTGAGATGGCTGACAGCCTGTGAGGTTATGAGCCCGGAAGCAGAGGAACATCTGCTGTTGGAAGCCCTTGCCAGGCAGCACAGTGAGGACCGTGACTCAGAATGGTAGCCTTTGTGTAATTGCAGTTTGTAAAGTATAGTCACGAGTTGTGTGTTACCAGTAAATCCAATCACCAGTCCAAACCCCATCTGTAGTCACGCTCCTGGTATGAGACAATATCTACAGCTCTAGCAGACTAACTGGAGTGTTAACCAGTAGGATAGTTAACCAGGCGCACACATTTTGCACTCATTTGCTGTATGTTACACAGGGAATGCATAATAACTGAAATAAAAGTCCTAATTGCAGTTGTTTGTGTAGTTTTGTATTGTTTTAAGTTTGGTTTTTAATGTATAGTAAAGCAGGTAGACATAGAAGAGAAGGAAATTGTAGTCATTTTCAAAGTATACATGCCACACTAACCAATCTGTGTTACAAGCACTAGATTGGAATGGATTATGATCCTGTTGTGCATATCGTACCTGTCACTGCATGAGCAGAAAAATTATAAGAAAAGAAGTGAAATTATATTATATATAGCACACAAATTAAATTGGATAGCTGAATCATTGAAATGATTGGCTCTGGCCAGGAAAACTAGGGTTCAGTTCCAAGTTCCTGTATATGCAGACTGACTTTGGGGCCCATGCAGCCTTTTATCAGTGGCTGTCAGGAGCTGAGTTCTAAGGTCCAAACTTTAACAGTTAGATGTACTGGGTTAACTTGCTGACTCACCCAGTGATTCATCACACCACTTCCCCCAGACTTGGACTTTAAAGCGAGTAACCATGACTAAGGGTACTGTTCAGTACAATACAGAAAACTTCCTCATGTTGAATTCCAAAATTCTTCCATTTACATATGCTCTGTATTTCCAGATATCTTTGATCCATTCAACCAATGACTTAACAGGTGTTTTCAGTGTGACATGCATTTGTTGGACATGATACCTGGTTCAAATTTCAGGCAGAGATCCAACTGATGATGCTGGGATTTTTCTTACTGCTCAGTCCTAAGTCTATGCCAAAATAGTATCTCGAGTTAGGCCACAACTGTATTCTCTCCTGTTGCTGTTCATTATCATGCTAACGTATTTCAGCCTAAGTAACATCTACAATTGATACAGAATTATTAAATAACGTGCAAATCTGTTAGCCCGCTACCATGCAGCATTGGCTGAGTAATGGTTCATCTGTGGATATGTTGAATACACCATTGCAGACAACTGAAAATGAATAGTCCTCAAACTTTATGTTGGTTTGGGGTAACAGCTCTAGACCATCAAGTACCAGCATGTTACAAAATGTTATCTGGGACTTTGGAATGGCCTGCACACCACAAAAAGGGTCTGAGATTTGGAGTTTATGATGTTAGGAGCCTCTGTAGGTCAGGTTCATTGAAAACGGTAGCAAGAGAATAAGCAAAGTATAAGTCAAGTTTTAGTGGGAGTACAGGAGGTCAGATGGGACAGAGGGTGACACTAAACTGTTGTACATCTCTCTGTGGCTGTGGGAGTGACAGTCATGAATTAGGGATAGAATTTCTCCATATAAAGGAATCATGTCAGTAGTTAAGATGCCAGAGTTTGTTAGTGTTGAATGCCACATATATAATAACACTAAGAGGTTGTTAGAATGGTATTAGAATCAACTGGCAAACAAAGGGTTATACAGAGAACAGCATCCTTGAGGAAGGAACTAGGATCTGCATTCACTCAACTTCCTAAGTACCACATAAATATTCTACCAGTAATTGCCAAGGCAGTTTTCTTACTGCACCGTGTTGTTAATGGGTATACACAGTGTCCTAGAAGTTCCTTTACTGAGATGGTGAAGTGTTTAACTGTGATTATTTTCCCTTGCATTCAGATGTTTGTTTGCAGCA